ATAAATATCGTGATCCAGAGCACAAACTATGAAATTTGTGACGGCTAACTGACGTAATCGACAGACCCAACTCATGAGCATGTCCCTGTAATTGTCTCCAGCAACTGCAAGCACAACGGACTTATCCTTGTTTGCGATAATTTGAAGAAGAGAATTAAGAGAAAGTGATAAACTTAATTCCCTTGGCATTTTGAAAGAAACTTTATGCCACTTGGAACAAGGAACATTTCTGTCCCATAAATGGACATCTTTCATAAGATTCGTCCATTCCTTTCGTCGCCAAAATTGCAGGAACTTTTCAGATAACCATGATGGATTAGCAAAATCGTTCAAAAAATAGACAGTACCGTTCGCTGAATCAAACAAACAGTACTGTCCTGAGCACTTTGTAAGCCTAAATGAAATCGTGGTATTTGGACGGAAATAAAGTGATCCATACAATGAAGCAAGATGATGGTTTCCTTCATCCTCCCAAGTTTTGTTAAGCTTGCTGCTAGGACTCACAGACAAACTCTCCAAATAAAAACCGGGAGCCGCCAAAGTGGCATCAATTACAATTCTAAAGTCTGATGACAGCACCTCATTTACAAGCCACTCATTATGAAGCCCTCTATTGTATGCGAAAGGAGGAATAATTCCGGCATGTAGAGGAGGATCTCCTGTATTCCACGCCATAAGGATTCTCTCTCCACAATTTCTCCATTGGCGATTCTGAACTAGAAACTCCTGCACCTGCTAAGAGATAATGCCATGAATTAGCAAAGCAACCCATTAGGGTTAATGGCAGATAGACCCCCTGTACTATCACCCAATTGCGGATAGACCCCCTGTAAGTTCTATTGTTTCAGATAGACCCCCTTAGGTTAAATTGTTTAGGCTCTTTTACCCTCAGATAAACTCCCTAATCTTCACCCTGCGACAATATCCGCTAAAATTTCACCAGGGTTAAAAGAGCCAAAAAAAAATTTTTAACCTAGGAGGTCTATCCGCAACAATAAAATGACAAGGGTAATAAGTTTAGAATAATGATACTGCAGGAGATATATGTGCAATTAACTCAACCATCCAGCAAGTTTTGCAGTTATGCATTTAGGTTTCTCTCTACCTTTTTGGCTCCTATCCTTTTCCCGTCTTTTTGTAGCCAATTCTGTCCAGTGTCATCTAGAAGGAATGGAAAGCGTGGGATGCTTGAAGAGACGGAGGTGAGGAACCAATCGCGATTGAGTTTATGAACATAATGAAGGGTGGTGATGATGTCAGGTAGAAGAATGGTCTCCGGATCAACAAGAAGAGAAATGCCTGCGTGAGAAGCTTGCGACCTCGCAACCATGGAGTGAAAGAATGGAGTCCCTAAGAAGCTAAAATTAATGTTAATTCAATACTATTATTAAATATCAAAAATAATAACAACTTATACATGTTTATTAAAAGTACAAAAGAAATACACAATAAAACTTTAATGATCTCAAATCTCCTTAGCTTCTAATCAAATCATGAATGAAAGAAAGAAATTTCAGAGTTCAATTCAATATGTATGTATCTCTTTTTAACGAGCTCATGGTGCCCCCACATGTTAGGACAGAATGCGAAAATAGTATCTCTTTTTATAAACAAAAGAATCTCTTTTGTTTATATTTAAGCAACATATGTTTGCAAGGTGTCTGGCACAACATTAGATTATGCTGGACGAAAACACCAAGAATGCATGACATTCCTATTGCAAATGCTATCTTCTATAGAGTATTCTTGGTATTGCAATCACAAGATTCTGTACTTGATATGGAACAAAATTACCTGTTCCCACAATAAGTTTTAGATTTGTTGATAAAAAAATCATACACTTGTTAAATAGACATTAATCCAACTCTAACACTGAAAAAATCTACTAAATCTTTCTTCGCAGCTGGCAAAAAGATTGGGATCTACTATATAACTATCTTAACCGCAATATACAAAAATTCATAACAACCCGTCCAAACAACCCAAAAAAAAACAATCAAATTTAAGCCACTTACGTGAAATCTATGCCCGATTCAACGACAACCCTGTTTCCAAAATTGCTGGCAAATGTTAAAACAGAAGGGTGCTGACCAAATAGAACAACATTGACATTTGGAGAAAGACGCAACCATGACCTTATAGCAATTTCCTGCCTTGCTCCAACTGAATCCAACCCATCATCATAAAATGGCCGAGTCGCCGAAAATATAGTTATATTGGGAAAACCAAAGTCAATAACTTCAAATTTTCTAGCATTTCTAGTATTGGGGTCTTTCTGTTGAAGGTTTTGATTTTGTATAGCGGAGTAAAGAGAGGCAGCGAATAGAAAGAAACCCAAGAGACAGAGTGAGGATCCAAGGAAACCCAACTTCATCTGAAGCAAACAAAAAAAAAAAAAAAAAACAGCTCAAATCAAGCAACGGAAACAGTATCAAGTGCGAGACAGAGGATTTGATTGGGTACATACTCTGGTCTTGCTGCTGATGCGGCGACGGCAATTGGAGAGAGCAGAAATCCTGCTCGTTCTCTTCATTGGGACCATTGCTGAATATTTTTGAATTTTTTTTCCCTTCCAATTTTAGAGAGGAGAAGTTGAGGGAGGGAGAGAGAGAGAGAGAGAGAGTAAAAAAGAGCTGAAGAGTGGAGAAACCGCGGGGGGGATCCGAGGTCGAGTGGAACTTTAACCGAAACTAACGGAAACGGAAAGAAAGTAAACGGCAGAGTTAGGGAGGGAAAATTATGTAATTAACCCATTTTTAACCAATAGTGACAGAAGTGTATTTTAAGGAAACTACTGTGGATTTTATTGTTTTATAGACAAATTATTATCATTTGGTCTTAACCTCACTTTGGTCTATTACTTAGCCTCGTATCTCAAAATCATGGTCATCTCTTATAATATGTCATCTACCATTGGTCCTCGCTTCAAAAGAAACTTTACTTTCAAAATAATCATCTTCTCATCACCTTGAATTAGTTTAAGAAATTATATAGATGAAACATGGGACTTATGCAAACTAGACCCTTTTTGGAAACAATATATACCAAAAATAAAAATCCTTTAAACAATTTGATTATATAAACCAAAATCAATATTTAGCATAGGTTACAATTTTTGAACATCTAATTTTGCAATTATTTGTTTGAGGAATTTTTCAAATAAGAGTTCTTAAATTAGATATATTTTAATAATAGTCCCTCAAATCTCCATATTGTAAACATGTCAAGCACTTCAAATTGGGTCAAAGTAACATGTTAACCAGAAGCAAACAGAGTGCTGCGTAACAACCAATGAGCTCTCAATAAAACTTATTCGCATGATCCAAGTCCAAATTAACCCCTATTCTATAATTGCAATTCTAACACTACATCAAATTAAACTCCCTTAACTCTCTACAACAACCAATATTCATTGGCATCTCTTGATCAACCGAAACCCATAATAAATAAATAAATAAATAAAGTGGGTTTTAAGTTTTCACTGTCGCTGCTATCTCCCCCTTTGAAAACTGGAGGCCTCTTCTTCATTGTATTGGCTTCCTATTATTTTCTCCTTCAAAAAGGTCCATTAAAAACACAAAGAATTCCCATTGGTTATTCTCACCCGATAAATTGTTTCATTTCTCAGATTCTAAGTTTAGTTGATATGAAATTAAATACATAGGCTTGATTCTTTCAACAAATCTAAGGCCTAAGCCTTTCGTAAATGATATTATATGAAGCAAAGCTCAGGCGCAGGTGAAGCTACTTCTATGTGCTCAGATCATCGATGTATAAAGCCGAAGAGAATCAAGCAAGCTCAGATATCCACGTAAGAAGTTGAAGTGAATCCAGCAAGCTGGGTAACTCTGGATATGTACAAACATAGTACTAGAGCTCCAAAGGCGGACATTTATTGCCTGAAGAAGAAATGCAATGCTGCCTGAAAGTACCTCTTGCATAATTGATAACTTCCGAGTATGAAATAGAAGCTGTGCAGGTTTAGCCTGATGAGTTCGAGCAATAACACCACGAGTTTCCTCAAGTTTAGCTCTTACCAAAATGGTGGTGTTGCTATATCTACAAGAGAAATCCAGCATCTTAATCTTATTGTTGCCTCGGATTAGCATCTGCATTCAATAATCATAATATGTTTTCAGAATTCAGAGACTTCAAATAGAAAAGATAAGAATGACATCAGCATGCACGAGAGGAGAAATTGACATGATGCCCAAATTAAATTACTTTAAACTTTGTCATGTTAGTGTTTACTGTAATTTTATCTACAGTTTGTAGTTCATACTAATTTGCTATTCACCCTGAAATTTTGCCGGAAAAAAAAGTTGCTAAAATACACAAATGGGAAAAATGACATTGTAATTGAACTACATGAAGCAGTTGTGACTTTCTACACAGAATTCGAACATCAACCAGCTCCTTTCGTCTGGATGGCCTGACGTGAAGAAAATAACAAAAGATAAAATGAGATTAAAGTCTCATTATCTATTAAGCCAACAAGCTTGCTAAACCATGCATTAGTTATATGTTCATATTTAAACTGAAACATAGAAACTGCTCTCATAGAAGGTGATAACATCTTTTAGAAGGAAACCCCATTTCATCTGTGTTTTCAAGAATGCAAAATGTCACGCTCTTATAAACAAATCACTCGTTCAACACTTCAACAAATAATGCTCTTCTATTCCTTTAAGGGATTAATGGTTAAAATTGGTAATTCTTCCACACATGTTCAATCACATGATTAAATAAAGAGAAATAGTAACTGATTTACATAAAAGTCAAACTATTTACGTATGAAAAGTAAACGCTCCAGTCAATCAAAGAACCAGAAACCAACTCCCAAATCTCTTCGTACTTCTTAATTCTCCTAACTGCATTGTTGACTGATTGAAACAGGAACTAAGATCAGTGATAAACAGATGATGGTGCCAACAAAGCGCAAATCACTGAAAGCAGATGGTTATTAAATGTTACAACCATTTCTCATAAGACGATGCAACCAAGACAAGCCTTCAAAAATTAAAGAATTGATGTAGGATCAAGATCAGTCACTCGGCAAACCAAATCAACTCGCTCCTCCTGCTCAGTCTGCAAAAGGAAAAGGACCAATCTTTGGAAAACCACCAGGAAAGTTTGGATACAAAGACATGGAGGAAACAACAGATAGCTTATCAGCATAAGAATTTGGTGACGGTACTGAGTTATTGGGTGGAGAGGGAGGAGTTGTGCTGGTTTATAAGTAGGTCCATGATGAAGCATTGAAAAAATATTTAGATGGTAAGGCTTCTCAAGAGTTTATTAGCAGTATTGTCTCTGTTCTCTTCAAAATTTTCAAATATTCAGGGTTTGGGGTTGTATTGACAGTTAACTTGTTTTCCAATAAAAGCCTTTTGTGGGAATTGAATTGCTGCGATCTGTGGGTATCAATAGATCATGATTAAGGTTTTCCAAGAGCTTGTTAGTAGTTCTCTGCTCTTTTCAAATTTCATACTTTGAATTTGAGACTTGCACAGTCGCACTTGCCACTTAATAAGTATTACAATAAAAGTAGTTTATACTTCACTTTTGTGGGATTTGACATGTCAATGGGTGATTTCTCACAAGTAGGTATATATAATATGCCCCCTTTTGCAACCAATTTCAAACTTCTATTCTTTATGCGATTTTTTTAAAGCAGTACTACTGGTTTTAACTCTTTATATACAACTTTACAAGCAATATAATCTTTAGTTAACATGGAAACTTGGGTGACCTAAAGCAGTAGTATATTTTGAGTTTGAAGTTTCAAGTGCCTTTTCCTCCTCAGCAACAAGTTTAAGACAAACTGAGAAATCAAGCAGTCATTAGCATTAATAACAAGACAGCCCAATTCATTCCCAGGCATACAAAATATTATTAATCCAATGCAATGGCATCTTGCTTTGTGCTCCCTTAAGCAAGAGATACCCCCACAGAGGTAAGAGACTAAGTGCGCTAATTAAAATTTCATGTTATAAGACTGATATCTTGATAGTAGCTCGTGAGGAACTCGCCTATACAGAAACTAGTCATGGTATAAGTTGAAAATAAACAGTAACCATCATAAATCTGCTCAGATACAGTTAACCTTGGTTGAGCTACATTACATACTACGGTTTTTACTTCAATTACCACCTCTTGTTGAAAAGAAAAGAGCCATATACCATTTTACTACATGATTATAATACTAGTCATAGTCTGTAGCTGATGGAGTTTCAAACTTGCTTGCAACAAAATAGAAAGAAACGTATGGCACCGGAGTCAAAGGAATACTAATAATTTAAGGGTCAAACTTTTTACCGCTATCCTTTTTTTCTTTTTAATTCAGTATACATGAAATCAGAGGACTACAGCCTTACACATCATTAGAAAGGATCAAAGTGTTGGCCTTCTTATTTTGATAATGATTTAACAAACAATTTACATCTAATGTTGTTTGTCTAGTGTTAGTAAATTCCTATTTATTGTAGACAAATAACATGTTGGAGGATGGATGGAATAGAGCTTCAACGATAATATCTAATGGAGGTTGTCGGAATAGTAGGTGAAGCTATGTACAATTCAAGTTCAAGATCCAAGTTCAAGCTTCATCCGCAAGTGTACCAAGTCGAGTTTATTGAAGATCAAGATCTAGCTTGGTTAACTTAATTTAGGTTTTATATTATGTGTGTTAAGTACCTTAAGCTTAATATCATATACACACACGTATTTGGTTTCTATGTATATATATAGTTATATATATACATGCATGGTTTTGGGTTTTCATGTTTACAAATATGAAATTACATATTTCATATTTATTATTGTGTTTTGATTTAACTACTTAGATATGAAACGTATTTGGTTTCTACGTATATATATAGTTATATATATACATGCATGGTTTTGGGTTTTCATGTTTACAAATATGAAATTACATATTTCATATTTATTATTGTGTTTTGGTTTAACTACTTAGATATGAAACAAATATATTTTCATATACATACTCATATGTTTCATTTTTTATTGTATTTGTAAAAATATTGTATTCTTAGTTTTTGGACTTAACAATAATCATATACATATTTTATTAAGTCTACATAATCATTGTGCAAAGTTTCAAAACATGGTTTAGCCAAAATATCAAAATTCACATGTTTACATTTTCATGTTTTGACCTATTTTGTAAAATGATGATATTTTTTATTTGGGAAGTCCTTTTTTTAGCATGTTTATTATCATGTCTACAATCATTCCCCAAAGTTTTACATTTTTTAAAATTTATTTGATATTTTTAAATAGTGTTTTAAGATCAGAAAACAACTTTCAAAACCTGATTTCTTGTATCAGTTCACGGTCGACCGCCACGGTCGACCGTCAGCTCAAATTTTCCCACGGTCGACCGCCAAAGTCTCTGGAAGTTTTCTGAGATTCTGTAGTGCCTCGCGGTCGACCGCGAGAATTTCACGGTCGACCGCCGATAGCCCAACGGCTATATTGGGTACAGAATCGTATTCCTGATTTTCTGGGATTTTTGTTGTTTTGGTTTGGGGTTTTTGCTGTTGTTTCTCTTCCTTTATAAACCCTCAAACCCCCTTCTATCTCAATAACCCAATGGATTGTTTTAAAGAAGTTTAAAAGAGTTTTTGAAAAGAGTTTTAGTTGGGTTCAAAGTCTGTTTGGTTTGTGAAGATTGTTTTGCAAGTGGAGAAGATCATCTACAGTGTTTGAACTTCATCTTAATCCTCCTCTCCAACTTGATTTTTAGAGAAGAATTCCTAAACTCTATTTTCTAGCTATTTATCGTTTTTGTTCATAATTCCTATATGCTAGATTTTAATTGAGTTAGATTTGATTTTACTCATTGTTTACACACACACCCACTTGAGCTTATTGTATTTTTATACATAGTATATTTGGGTTGGTGAGAGTTGTAACAATTGAGTGTGAGCTTTTATTGTGTTCTCATCCATATTAGAGAACAATCATTCTTTGTATTGTGTTTTATCGTGAGATCACTTTGTAATACACTTGTACACCGAGAGGAGTGTGTGGTGAGAGTCGGGGATCGTCCCAAGAGGAGTGGCGTCGGTTGACGAATCTAGGGAGAGGTTGTAACCGAGCACTTAAGGGAGACACGGTTAGGTCCAACACTTGTGAGGGTGTAGAGTGGGTTTGCAAGAGTGTGAGTTGTAGAGTTTTCGGTTAACTAGAAAACCGAGTGTGTAAAAGTTTCGACTTTCAAACCGGATTGTGATAGTGGATTTCTCCCCGGGAGTGGGGAGCGGAGACGTAGGACGGAAGATCCGAACTCCGTGATCATTTGAGTGTGTTTGAGTTTGTCATTGGCGCATTTGCTTTTGCATTTATCTTATATCGCCAATTGTGCATTGCTTATTTTATTTCATCCACTATCTTGTTTATGTTTATTTCACCCTTGTGTTAATTTATATATCCTTGCATATATTTTTATCATATAGGATATATCTCATTGTTTATTTTGCTTATCCTAGCTCATTTATCTTGTTGTATTTCATACTTGCTAGAATAACTTATTAATTAGTTTTAATTGGCATAAAATCAGATTAGATTAGCATAAGACCCTAATCACCCCCCCTCTAGGCTCTAACAATTGGTATCAGAGCTTGGTGCTCTTTGATTTAAGGTCAAATCGCCTTGAATTAAAGATCCAAGTTATCTTTTTGTGCTAATATTATTTTGATTGTATTTGTATCTTGCTTGCATATTTTTACAAATTATGGATATGAATGATGCATCTTGTTTAGGCTATAATTCTAGTACTGCTCCTAAATTCAATGTTTTTCCTTATGCTCAATGGTGTTTTAGATTCAAATTATTTGTTCAATCTAAAAATATCGATTTATGGGAAGTCATTGATTGTGCTTATATTGTGCACACGTTGGAGAAATCCAAGTGGAGCAAACATGATAAAAAGATGTTTATTATGAACAAGCTTATATTAGAATTTTTATTAAATACATTTAATTTATTATTGTCTAACAAGCTTGATTCTTTTGATAGTGCTTATACATTATGAAAATTCATAGAAGCACATCAAGGAGATTTGGAGGCGATCCGACAAGCTTTGGAGGATCCCGCTTCAAGTTCATATGGAGTATCATGCACACGCGCACTAGGCGATAGCCTTAGTGAGGTTTGCGAGTTCGAATCTATTAATGATTTACCTAATGATGAACTCGCTTGTGCTAGTGAAAGATTATTACATGCCTGTAAGAAATTGCAAAATGATTTTATTGATTTAAAAAGCAAGCATGAAGATTTAAAATCCGATCATGAGAAGTTAGCTTTCAAATTTGATATCATTTCTCAAGAAAGTATTGCTCTTCAAGAAAACAATGATATGTTAAATTTAGAAAATAATAATTTAAAATTGGATATTGCTAACTTGACTCATGACAAAAATAATGCCATGATAGAAGTAGAGAACATACAAAATGACATTGCTTCCTTTATAAATAACTATTTATGTTCTACTTCTAATGCATATATGCCTAAAAATAAAGATTTGAATCTTATGAATAAATGCATTTCATCTTTAGATTCAACTTTAAAAACATGTATTAATAATCATAAGAGGCTTATGGATATGTGTGCCAAATCTAAGAAATCATCCACTCATCATGCACACATATATAGCAAAGTTTACAAGTGCTCTATTTGCGACCGTAAAGGCCATCTAGCTAAATTTTGCTATGATGCACACAAACATAAAAATGTCAATGCTCCTTGTGCATCTCATGTAGCTTCTTCATCACATGTACACACATATACACCCATTGTTCATCATAAGCATGCTAGTGTGTTCAAGTGTGATCATTGTGGTCGTTTTGATCATTTGGCCGAATATTATTTTGATTTGAAAAATAAATCTCATTTGCCAAATGTTTCAAATAGACCACATGTTTTTAAATGTGATGTTTGTGGTAGGTTTGGACATCTTGCTAAATTTTATTTTGATGTGCAAAAAGTTACTATTTTGCAAAATACTACAAAGAAACCATCTTTGTTTAATGATGTTTCTCATTTGCGAAATAATTTAAAAGAAA